GTTAACTCAGGGTATACTTACTCAGAGTTTGCACTAAACCGGCTTCCTGAAATAGGGCCCAGGTAAGGAAACTAGTAATTCTGGTAACTTGATTTATTTATTTGTTCATTTTATTGGATTATCGGTTCTTTATGAATACACCTGACCCACACCTGAAGACAGCACTGTGGAAATCATGTACATCACTGTATACGTACAGAGCTTCCTACTGATTCTTTTAATATACACAGCTCTGCTCAGGTACGTTACTTCTTATCTCTGTACGTGCATGTGTAGAAACCATAATCAAGTCATCCTTCTCCTTGTGTTTGATTCCTGACAGTTTACATTTGCTGCACCTTTTACCTGAAATAATCTACAATTAAGCACAAACAAATTGTCACAGTGGAAGATTTAAGAATATCTTAAAGCATTAAACAAACAATTTCTTGACCTTAAAGTTGCTCTTGTCCTTGATATCATCTTGGTGTTCTCCTCATCCTCTTATATTTATGTTTACTGCCCTCAGCTCATTAGAGTAAAGCTGTGCTGCATAAACCTGGAAGTTTGACTTTTCATTTTGTCTTCCTGCAGTACCTTCTCAGCCACTTCCCTTTGCAGTAATCCTGTCTTTGTAGTTCATTTGTCTCCAGTTAACCAGCCATGTGCATCAATGCCAGATGTTGAAAACCAACAAATAATTACGTTTCAGTTTTGACTTCAGTCTAAAATCCCCTGAAAGTGTCTTTTGATTTTCAGAGCGTTGCAGAACCTCTTACCGTTCGGACCACAGGCTCTCTGAAGGGGGGGCAGACCATGTGGAAACGAGGTATGGCCACGTGGAAAACTTCCTCTTTACTGGCTATGAAAGAAACAAATATGAGAACAGCAGCAAAACATCTGGGAGGTGTTTCTGTTACAGGTGGAGGTAGTTACCAAGTCTGTGGAAGGTGTAGTGACCCTCCATGTACTCTGACGAGGTGGAGAAGGTCGTGCAGCTGGCGTACTCGTGTACTTTTCCAGGCGTCATGACCGGGAACTCCCCTGCACAGATACACACACAAACACACACATTCAGCAGCTGGTCTCAGCCAATCACAGTGGAGCAGCCCAGGTGTGATGCGGGCAGCGTACCGACCACGCCGGGACCCTGGACTTCCTCCACGTTGCCATCAGAGGTGGTGATTTTCCAGTAGCGGCTGTCGAGCTGACAGGCAGCTTCAGGCGAGGCGCTGCTGGACATTTCTATTCTGAAAACACACGCCGGGTCATTAAAACGCTGAAAAGAGGCGGTGAGAGACATGGCGAGCAGAGAGGAAGTTACCTGATGCGGTAGGTGAAGAAGAAGTGTGGAGGATGGACGGACGAAAGCTCTGGCAGGAAGGAGGTAGAAACGGAGACGGTGATGTCGCCGGTGGTTGCCACGCAGCTTTTGTCGTGCACATACCTGCAGAGCAAAATCAGCTTTGAGCTTCACAGAGGCTCAAACACACAAAACACTCATTAACGTGTGCGCGACTCGTTGTTACCTGAAGATCTGGTCTCTGATGATTGGATACTCTCCCGTGACGACGTTGTGCACGTAGGTCGTGAACCACTCCAAGAAACATGAGCCTGAACACACAAACACTCACAGTTTCCCACGTTTTCATGCTCAGGGTTTCTGCAGCTTTCACACAAAGTTAAAGAATCACAGAGAACAAACTGACACAAACTTATAATCTTTCTGGGTGATTTATCCAACTGGAGGAGAGAAATAAATCAAGCAGCTGCTGAAACGGTCTCGTGTTTAGGACTTTCGGTTCGGTCTAAAGTAGCTTATACCTCAACTTTATACAAATGAATGAAGAGTGGACGACTTGAGTCAAATGTTCCTGCAAACCTGAATCTATCAAATCACATTTCACAGCTGGATGCGTGGACAGTACCTGGGTTTAGCTAAACCACGGCAAAGACGAGTAAGCCCAGTGATAGACCCGCCTCTCACATGATGACAGCTGTGATGTGTTCCAGCACACTGTGATGCTGAACTGAATGTAGGGAATTCAAATGTTGTCTTAACTCTGTGAGATTACTCAGATTCACTGCTAGACCTGTTGTTTCTCTCTTTATGGGCTCCACCCTGAGCGTAGGTGACATCACCAAGAAAGCAGTCAGATACACTCAGATTCACCTGCATCTTTATCTGCTCTTTTTTCCACCTTGAAACTTTCAATGTCTATAATTGCCGTCTGACAGTTTGTTCAGCTCATAGATCTCTTGAACTATCAGCCCGAGAACCTTAAACCACCAAGAAACCTGCAGTGAGTCTGTCAAGTTGGTCGACCTTTTGCCTTCATTTCCTTCTCATTGCATCCATCTTCAGACAGTGAGTGAGGGAGGAGGTCCGTCTGCCTGACTTTTGCGACCGCGCAGTATCATCTGTGGAGAATTTACATTACAACTATGCCACGCCCCAGGCAGCGGACTTCAAAGAAGCATAACAGGAATGACTTCTTGGCCGCCGGATCTCCAGCTGTCCGTGTCCGCAACGGAGTATAATTAAGACCTCAGGCATCGTGTTTCCTTTAATGATGTGAATTTCAGGGCAATTTTGGTTTTCCGTTTGCTGTGTGGCTCCAAGACCCGAAGCAGAGTTTTTGTTAACGAATTTAACTAAAGAAAAATGGGTTATTTAAAAAAACAAAACTGCATCGAACAAACATCCGCCTACTTTAAGAAGTTTGGACTGCAGTAAAAACAAGAGCAGGGTTAGGGTTCAGGGTTTGTTATTTGCTCTGTTTAAATCCGTTTTAACCCACCTGACATATTGATTGATTATTTTTTATTTATGTGGATATAGAAGATGTATTAATTTGTTAAAAAAAATACTGAGTCAGAGGTCAAACATGACATTTTAAATCTTTACACGACCTTCTATATATTAACATTACACCATGAAGACTGGATGTAAGAAATATTTGAACATGACCTTTCTCTGCACTTCTACAAAGCAGAATTCAAAATTTTTCACGTAATTGTGATTACAGGTAGAAAGTTTATTTTAACACCTGAGAGAATTGGACCTTTTTGTTTGACGGACTTTTGGACCTGGAAATGTTTAATGACATCAGACTGAACGAGAAGACAAGTTGCAGAAAATCTTGTGACATCCAGCTTTAGAGTTCGACAGCAGGGCAGCAAAAACAAACAGATCAAACAGAGAGACGAGCTGTCGCTGTTAAAACTGAGAGGAAAGTGCACGGTGAGACACTTAACAATGTTCATCTGAACTCCTGTGAAGAACTATGTGATAATACAATTGCACTCAAATACATTACACCCCAGTCAAATACAGTTAACTGACTGAACGTACAGAAATGTTCTACTGGAAAGCTTACAGGATACTTCAACATAGAGGTTTAAAAAGACAAAAAGTAAATGAAATGATTTTTTCTTCCTAAAACCGATTCAGCATTAATCCTAAAAGCCTTTTAACAGTTCCTCTTCAAACTTAAATATCACTTAAATACTCATTGCACAAGTTTTTCACAAACTGTAAATAACAACTTGTCTTAAATTCTCTAAATATTTAGTATTTGTTTTCTCTTTATCGTTATTATTACTGCTATTTTCTGTTATTTTCTTCTTAATTTAACTGCATACTTCTATATGCTCATGTAAAGCTGACGAACACGAGCCAAAGTATTTCGTTATGGGTAAATGTGGCTACACTGTTTATCTGTACATGACAATAAAACTTAAAACTTGAAACAGCAGTGCTCAGAATGATCATAAAGGCTTCCTGTTTCTGTTCTGTTTGTGGTTTAAAATAATATGAGATTAAACTGGAGGCTGTTTTACGAGTTTATACCTAAATTATGTTTCAGTTTGGTCACGTGCGGCTTAATTGAAAACCCCTCTTAACCCAACGTCATAAACTTCCACATAACCTGACGTGCACCAAGAAATGGGACAACACGTTGCGTTGACGCAGCCCACAATGACTAAAGGTGTAGAAGGTTACAGCGTAGGGTTAAAAAGAGCATTTGTGTACATCATAATTTGATGTACACAAATGTAGATTTCCTGCTGAAGCAAAATTAAGGCATCAGTCTGAATTTTGATTTGAAAACACAGTTGGTTCTAAGCGATGTTTAATTAAGATTTTAATCATTTAAGTATGTGGTGTAGTTTTAATATTGAGCCACTAGATGGCATTGATGTCAGCTTTGATTACCATGTCAAACTTGCAATTCACTAATTCTTGTAAATCTTCCGTTTCACGAACTTTGGAGAACGACACCCTGATCACAGCAATTCTACTGAAGCTGAAAGAATCTGGACTCTTACCTCTAAGTGTTTTTTGATTTTAGGAAAAGTAAGCGCGCTTAGACCAGAAATTATACACGTGGTCTGCCTAAAAAGTCACCAGTGACAGGAAAATGAAAACAGGAGTCATCTGCAAGTCGAAGAACTTCCTGACCTAAAACCACAATTCATACTTTAAAATGTTAAATAACATTTTCTGAATATAACATTTTAACACAGTTGCAGATGAAGACTGGCGCTGACCTGTGATGAACATGTCGATGGCTGAAGGATCCTGAGCCGTCTGATCCTGAAACACAGAAAGAAGAAACAGTTCCAAATATGTCCACTGAATGCTACAGAGCATTTACTTTGAAAGAATAAGCAGACAGTAAATGTGCTGACCGGGCAGGGGTAGAAGCTCTCAAACATCTGGCGCCCCTCAGCAGGCTCCAGTGCCATATACTGACTGAGGCCTGTGTGGAAGCAGAAGGTGAGCGGCAGGCAGCGCCTCATCCCCTTCCTCTGCTGGAAGCCGCCGGCCGCCGTCTCCACATCCAGCAGCACCTCGGAGCGGTAGTGGTTGGACAGAGACATGCTGCCCATCAGCCTGAGGACAGAGAGACAGGTGGAGAGGAAGGTGAGACAGGTAGAAGGGGGCGTGGCTACAGTCTGTGTTCTCAGGCTGACACTGACCCTGGGATGACCAGCTTCTGACCGTTGTGGATGCGGTAGGAACAGCGGTAGTCGTCTGGGAGCTTGCAGCCGATCTGTGCCTCGATGTCATTCAGCTCCACCTCGGTGGTGCCCTCTGAAGACAGAAACAGGAAACATCACCTTTAAAGGCGATGCTAATGGGCTGACAGATATAAACAAAAAAGGTTTTCTTGTAGTTTATCTTCAGGAGAGCTCAGACTTTACATGCAATTACTGATTATCAAGTTTTATAGAAAGAAGGTGACGAGATGTGAGAATGACTGAGAAACATGAGCAGAGAGCAACCCAACAACTTTCAAACATCAAGAAACACTTTACAGCAGAACTTTGTTTTACTGAAGCAGAAACAAAAGAACTTGATTCTTTTAGCTCAAGAACAAAGAAAATTTGGCAGAAACATGCAGATTTCTCCTCGTTACACTAAAAATGGCAGAGCAGTGAAGGCAAGCCTGAAGCCATCTGCTTCATCTGTCATAAAATAACGAGTAGGGCTGCCACGATTAGTCGACTAATCACGATTACGTCGACTATTAGAGGCTTTTTTTTAGTGTTTTATTTGTTCCTGAGTAAATTGTTTGGCTGAGATTAAAGTTATAGTTTTTACACAGCTGAATAAACGTCAAGCAGACAGCTGATTATCAGAAGTGTGAGATGCTCGAGAATTTACTCTGGTGTCCTGTTATATTTTAGATAGCAAGGAGTTTATTAAACTTCACCCAAACAATCTGCAAATTTCATTAAAATTTAATAAACTATCATCTTGTCTTTATTTTTAGTTAGCACAGACCTTAAACACTTAAAGCTGTAAGCTAATGATAGTTGTATAAGAGCAGATGCATGCTGGTGCAATAAGCTGTAGGTTTTACATCCAATGGATGCATGATCTGATTAGTCGACTAATCGCAAAAATAATCGGTGACTAGTCGACTATGAAAATAATTGTTTGTGGCAGCCCTAATAGCAAGTGAAGCGAGCCATGAAATTGTTTATTACTCAACTGTCTGTTGACTTTACTTAAGCCTCTGAAAACAGGGGGGCGTGTTTAAAATAGCTGTAATTCATAAACAGCTAATTCTGTACTTTAGTTAAACCCTTTGAAACAAACCTGAAAGTCTGGATTTTAATCACATATTCATTGTTTCGTGTAAAATCCACTGTGGTGACGTGCAGTGAACTTCAGGCTTTGTTGATGCAGTGAGCACAAAGAAAGCCAAACTCTGAAAGAATCTTTTTGTTAATGAAGAACGACATTTTTATTTAATTTTCAAACCTGTTTTTAAAAGTCTAGAATTCTGGTGTTGCCTTTCAAACAAAAAGCCTGGCTATTTCCAGTTTGAACTATGTGATATCTGTGCCAGCTGTGGTGCATCCAGCTGTTGAACTGTTGTGCGACACCTTTGAGTGATGCGATCATTCGTGGACACCTCTGCTGCAGGAAGCTCTTGAGCTGCTCCCACGCCCTCTTCAGCACTGCGTAATACTGGATGTACCGGCCCAGATCAGTGTAGTACTGCTTGAAGAGGCAGAACCAGGACACACCGCTCTGCAGTCGGTCGTCACTAAGCGAGCATACATACAGAGAGAGAGACAGAGAGAGGAGAAAAGTCAGAGTGCGGTGAGGCTGCGGCGAGGTGTAAAACATGTCGGGGTGAACTCACTCTGTCAGCAGCCAGTGTTTGCAGCACTGAGACTTCCAAAGAGGATTGTGCTTAGAGAGCTCGTTCAGGCGCCTGCTGACAAAGCTGCAGCTGAGGAGGAGGGAGAGGGGGAGGAGTCAAACACAGAGAGAGGAGTTTTATCTCAAACACATCTCGTGGTTTACACGAGAGCAAACAGATATAATGACACATCCTGAAAACTACTCAACTTTATTTAAAATTTATGTTTATTTAAAACAATAATTTTATTTAAACCTGAACAACATATTTAACTTTTTTATCAACTAGAAAAGTTTTACGACATATTTATGTACCTTTGCTGCAGGAAACCAGTGTACTTTAACTGTAATAACCCTTCTGCTATAATAATCAGAACATATTTGTGTGATTTCACTGAAAGAATCGGATGCCTGTGTACTTTTATTACATGGATTTAATGCGCTTTTTAGTACTTTGATAATAAGTTTCAGTAGATTAACATGAAAAGGGTTGAGGCTAACAGACATGCGCAGTAGGGGACGTAAACAAATAGTTAGCAGCAGTTAGCATGCGGCTAACTGTAAACGCGATCATATCTCGTATATGGGGCGTTTTAAAGTCTCTGTGTTGGCTCTGCGCTACGTGACAGCTGCCATTAAAGTTACATTTTCATGAATACTTGCAGTAAAACACTGACAGCACCTTTTGTCACCACTCTTTACTCAGAATTACAAGAACAAAAATTAAAATAAAGGGGCTCGCGTAACGAGCTGCTGTCATTGTTATTAGCGGTTAGCCTCTAGCCTGCGTTTCCTCCTGCAGCTTGTGTAAGAAGAAATCAATGGCGTGTTTTCTTCTTCTTCTCCTGGCTACACCGTGGAGGTGTGGGATACGTACTGCATCAAGTCCCTGAAGTCCAAGTAGGATAAAATGTGCAGCAGCGGGTCTGTGGGCAATTGATCCATCCGTAACTCCGTGAAAGCGGCTGCCATTGTTAGCAGTAGTGACGCTGTTTCTTCTTCTACAGCGTTTAACGGCTGTTGGTGAACTTTACCTGGTGAACTTCTGTACTTTACCGCCACCAGCTGGTAGTCACTGTGGTTAACGATGTTTAATATTTATATATTTTTTGACTTCTTTGGTGTAAAATTGTGTGGCTTCTCTGTGCACTCTTACCTGTAACCTAAATGTCCGTAACAAGACGCGGTCTTGTCTGGTCTTACTGTGGAAATGTTCCACCCAGTGTTGCCAACTCCTCAGTAAGCAAAATCACTATTGGCTGTCCGAAAAGTCGCTAGAAGTCGCCAAATAACGTCATCGCCTAATTTGCATAATTGGTCATGCTACTGTAATTGTAACCTATGTTGTTGGAGAGAGAAATAACATCGTGGAAGAGACATAAAGTGAGTAAGAACGTCCTAAATGCAGTTAGAATTTATTTAGAACTACAAATTAAATTTATTTTAGAAATTATTGTTTTTTAATGTCACAATTCCAACCCTGCTCCTTTATCCGGGCCTGGACCGGCAAAAGTGACCCGAAACTGGCACTCTGGTGGAGTTACTTTGTGTGTGTGTGTGTTTATAAGTAGTTTTAAACCTTGTGATCCACAAAACAGCATAACAGTAAAAGAAAAACTGACTGCGGTACAGTCAGTGCGAAAGCAGCGGCTTCGCTCATGCGCAATTCATTTGCCGTTTGGACGCACAGGTGTGAACGTCTTCTGCCCTGATAGCAGCTGGGGGAGGACTATCCTCCACCTGTGAGCGCTTTGGCACGGGCGAGGTGCCCAAGGCAGCACCGCTGCTTGTTGAGCGTAAGAGCGATACGCGTTTTCACGTCAAAAAGTCGTCATAAATAAGTCTCCAATAATACCGGAAAAAGTCGCCAGATTTGTCGCTAGTCGCTTTTTAGAAAAAAAGTCGCTAAGTTGGCAACACTGGTTCCACTCTCTTACCCGTCCTTCCTTCCTTCCTTCCTTCAGAGGAGTCTCTCATTCAAGGGAAGAGCTCACATGTTGCAGTCTTTCCCAGTGAGGAGTGCAGAGTCATCGTCTTCTCCCGTGTTTAAATAAACTGTAAGCTTTTATTTTATTTTTTATTTCACACTTTAATTATTTAATGCATGTAGCAATAAGACATAGGCACAATGGTACTTTAACAATGCTAAAGTCTGTAATGTTTGTAAGTTGTTCGACTGGAACTTTTGTCTGTGAAGGTTCTCAGTCATCCAGGTCATCGTAGTCAAAGGAGCTTGCAAAGAAAAGCGTCTGAACTTCTTTAAGTTACTTGAAGACGTTTCACCTCTCATCCGAGAAGCTTCTTCAGTTCTAAGGTCAAATGGTGGAGAGTCCCAGATATAAACCTAGTGGGAGTTTCCCCCCACAGAGGGACAAAAGGACCCCCTGATGATCCTCTAATCGCCTGAGCCAAGGTGTGAAACTCCCCAGACGCCTTAACGCCCACTCACATCCTGGGCCATCTGACCTCAGGAATTTGCATGATAAGGTGCGGCCAGGTTTCTCAATGAACACACCCGAAACTCTGGCTGATTGGGACCCACACCCAGTTTCACACCTTGGCTCAGGCGATTAGAGGATCATCAGGGAGTCCTTTTGTCCCTCTGTGGGGGGAAACTCCCACTAGGTTTATATCTGGGACTCTCCACCATTTGACCTAAGAACTGAAGAAGCTTCTCGGATGAGAGGTGAAACGTCTTCAAGCAACTTAAAGAAGTCCAGACGCTTTTCTTTCTCCTTTGACTGGAACTTTTGGATCACTTCTCTTACTGAGACAAGTTTAAAATCAATGTGAGTACATCAAGTTTAAATCTAGGTTATTTCATATTACACTATGCTGATTGTTTACGTGTCAGCGGCTGAGAAAAATACTTATAAATACTACATATAACAAAGTATTTTCACACTGTGATGCTTTGTGGAAGTTAAACACACCTGGCAAAGGGCCAGTTTGGCTTTAGGGCTCTTCAGCACACAGCCTCTCTGTGCTGGTGTCATTAGTTTCGTTTCCTCTAAGGCTGGAACCAAATGGAAACTAAAAACTTAATTCAGCTTAATGAGATGAAAACAAGATGCATGATGAAAGGTGTGATACAGAGAGGATCCGACCTGACACCACACACATCAGGAAGGATGAAGTCTGCAAATGAAACATGGTTTTTATTTACCTACACATTAGTAACTGCAACCAACTGCTGGCTGTGCCTGGCTTTAACGATCAGTCTCTCTCACGGCAGCAACTCTGGTATCCTGATATATCCTTTCACATCTTGTTAATGTATTTTTTCCTTTTAAATGTATTTAAAACATTGTGTTCTACTGACTAAATTGAATTAAATTGTCATGATATATGTAGATTTGGTTGAACCAAAATAAACGTATTACGTGGAAAACCTGCCATCAATCAAATTGAGTTCATCCAATGACTAATTTTTATGAGTGTAGGAGGCAAAAAGCTGACAGCATGGCTCATACGGGTGAGTGAGGGTTCCTGCAACATGATTTGGTTTGATTTGCGTTTCACTGAGTGAATGAAGCACAGCAGTAGGATTGTGACACACGACCCACAGATGGACACTTCTGCGTGTGTCAGTTCAACAGTGCTTTATTTACAATCAGGACTGTCCCTGCAGTTTCTGGCTCCTGCCCCTCCGTCACTCCTGTTGTCACTCTGCCGCTTCTTCTCACTGCAAGACATAAGAAAAGTCTCTCCTCATCAAGTCATTTCCGCACACCTGTTCCTTCCCACCTCTGCGCCGCCCTGTGAGCTCACTGCATCACCCCTCCTCTGCAGCAGGCCAAAGACCAAGCCCTCGCCACAGCGATGTTTCATATATTTGGTCACCAGGTTTCACACATCTCAGGAAGGATTTAGTCCCACTCTTTTTTACAGAAACTCTCTAAATCCTTCAGGTTTCTTCCCTGCTGACTGGCATCTTGAAGCTTCAGCTCTTCACAGATTTTCTATTCTGAGGTCCTGGACCTTAATTTACTTCTTCTTTAGCCACATCTGTGTTTCTTTGGGGTTATCTCCTGGGTCATTGTCATGTTGGAAGGCTTTATGGTGCACGGTCTTAATTGGCTCCTTGGTGCAAGGAAGTTGTCCTGTGCTCTAGAAAGAAAAAGACTCAAAAATAAATAAGACTGTGTTTGCAATAAATTTAATAATACAATTTAAGATGTGACAGAAGAGTGCTAAGGTCTGCAGATCTACAAACATGCTGTGTTGCAACATGTTTGAAGGCAACTGGGACAGAGCCAGACATCAGAAAGGCATTAATTAGACCTATTAAAAACATCCTTGAGGAGACAGGGTAGGAAGCTGTCACCTTAACAGATCAGCACACATGCTGAACTATTTCAATTAAAAGGGGGAGAGACACCTGCTCAAAGTTCACAAAGAAAACTGGGCAAACAGGATGAACAACGTGATCTAAGACAGGATCTGAGGGGAAAGACCTGATAGGACAATTCGTTTTTTTTTTTTTTTTTTAAATGTGGAAAAATGTTTCATGTTTGTTGGGTTTTTCTCTGTATGTATTATTGTAGGGTCTACCTTACAATATAAAGCAGGCATCTGTTGTTGTGATTTGTGTTATATAAATAAAACTGAATGAATAAGAATAGAGTGCGATAGAAGTAGAATCCCAAAGCAGCTTAAATAGCTCTACAATCTGAAAATCTCCTGTGGTGTTCAGTTCTAGAGCAAAGCTGCAGCAGACCGTAGAGGAGTGCTGATGGATTCGCCAAACCAAGCAGCTTGCTCAGCAGGTAGGAGCCAGTAGGCTATTTGACAAGATGTAAGTAAGACAAATAAACATGAAACAAAGTCTTCTTAGAATAATAGAGCACTCTGCACTTCGTGTACAGACATTGTTTATGGTTTATTCACCAAAATACATAAACATACATACATGAGAGAGTTTAAGTTGGCACAGTTAAATAAGGCAACTTTTTAAAAAATAACTACATACTAGTTGAAGCAGCCATAGGGCGCCGAGAAGCACTGTGTACCCCCTTGCTCAGGGGTACCTAGGGTAGCTATTGAGTGGATTCAAACCCCCAACCTTCCGATCATGGGGCCACCACTCTACCTACTGAGCTATCCCTGCCCGTGTTTGTTAGCAGTTAAATTCTTTTTCTATAAAACGAGTAACTGTGTATTAAATTTCAGTGAAATCAAATTTATGTTTATTTACCTTTTATTTAATAGGGACAGTTCACTTTAACATAAGTACTTAGGTGCATCATGAATAAATACCCCGTTTTCTGCTGTGCAGGCTGATTTTTTTATCTGCAGTTACTGGCAAGTTGACTGGAATTTGTTGACAGTAATAATTCATAGATAAGAGCCAGAAGTACATGAACTGCAAAAGAAAGACCTACCTGTGTAACACATTAAATATTACATTAAATATATTTTAAATGTAAAATAATGTGAAGTTTTTGGGTCTCATCCATATGAAAATTAAATGCAAGGACTCCAGCACAAATCATTATGTGCGTGTGGTGTCATATCATTATTTTCATGCCTTTTTCTAAAGTTACTTGTTAGTTTTCTGCTTTCTATAGTTGTGTAAAGCACTTTGAGTGCTTGGGTAAAGTAGAAAAACACTGTATAAGAACTGTCTATTTACCATTTGCCAAAAAGAAGTGGGATACACTTATAATATAAATCCTTTATTTAGCTATGGACTGACTATATTACTTAAAAACTGGTACTATCAAGGTTAGACTGGCCTGCTGCAAGGTTCACTTTGATAAACTCCTGTAACACTGAACTAGTTTATCTGTTAAAATAATGATACATATAAGCAGACTTCACTACACTGGAGGTTTGCAGAGGCTACTCATAGAGAGTTAACTGTTAAATCTATGTTGGCTGAGCTGACTGAGTTACTAAACTTGTTATTTCAAAAACAAATCAACTATTTAAACAAAACAAAAACAAATTCTTCATTTCAGTTTATTATATTTCTTTCCACAGAGAAGGAGCTTGCCAGAATGCGAACACAGTTTGTGGAGAGGGTGACAGCAGAAAATCTCACACAGCTACTTGAAGCCCTTGTAACAGACAATGTCTTGAATGAGTTGGAGAAAGAAAGGATACAGGAAATAAACCAAAGTAGAGCAGACAAGGCACGCGACTTCATTGACATCGTGAAGAAAAAGGGAGAAAAAGCCTGCAGGATAGTGATCAGTCACCTTCGAACCATTGATCCTACAGTTTCCTGTCAGCTAGGTTTGT